AAGCCAATATAGGTAGTCAAAAATGTTAAACAAATTATTACATGACATATAGTCATCTACAAAATTTAACATACTAATGTGTATAGTGTATACCTATTTCAGAAGATACTCATTAGGTTAGTTAACCGGTCGAGCGGTTATAAACACACGTGGATGCGCACGCGCCGATAATATAATCGTTGGGGGACGGAGGTCTTGTACTACAGGCGCACTAAAACTTTTTATATCCTTGCATGGCTTTGCAAAACACCTGCCTTAATCACCTGTGCCAATTGAGAAACCTAATTGCTGTGTTATTTTAAAGTGGGTTTTGTAAATGTTTAATCAACAATAATAATTATAATCAATATCAATAAATTGTTACAAGTTTTCAAGTTGTGGCGGATTAAAATCCTAATTGAATTAGGATTTGTGTGAAACATGATGCCTCAACAAAATCAACTTAGCCTGCAAAGGTACGTTTGCGTTACATTTTTGAATTTGTAGTTACTGCTTGTACTTTACTGCAAGTAATCTTCTGAGTAACTGAAACCGGTTTTAAAATACCCCTGATATAAAAAAGTTATAAATTATACCTCATAATTTCCCATGGGTTTCAAGCAATAATTGTACTTTTTTAAATGTTTGTCCAAACTCCCATAAATAATTTGCGGCTGACGTTGTAAACAGTAGGTTTCATATTCCAAAAGGCAAAGCTTGCAAAATCGCGCCAATCGATTGTTTCACTGGCCATGAACTCGAATCACCGCTCTCAGCGTGTGTTCCACGGAAATCTCGTGGACCTAGTAAAAACAACGTTTGTACGGATATGGAACCGAAAGCTATACTACGACGGCGCTAAATGCTAATCTTGTTTTAGATATTTGAACATATACGTAAATTACCAGTTAATAGCTTTTTAAACGTATTAGAAAATAGTTTTTTCGTACTATAACCATATATATCCAAGTAACTTTTTTATCTTTGCTTAAAGTAGCATCACAACTAAGACTAAAACTATAAAATCATCTTAAATCCTAACTTATATTGTAAGTGTGAATAAGATGAGTCTTTTCGCTATCTTCAGGCGATTGTACATTTGCGCTTTCCGCCCTATCGAATGATATATTGAAGTTATTTTTGCAGTTCCCTATTTTTTTTTCAAATTTGATTTCACTCGAAATAATAATATTTGTAAGTGTATGTAGGTATATTTAGCATTTTTTAAATATCTGGTCTTAATTCTCATACCTCTGGATATAAAATCGCCGTTCAAAAAATTTTGTAAGCCCTGTTATCTCCACCCGCAACAATAATAAGAATTTGAGTTCTCTAAAGAAAAGAGCAGCTGCATGTTGCCCCCCCTCTTCAATCATTGTTAGGCCAAGGGTCGTCCTACATGGGGAGCAATGGCCCGGCTACATAAAAAAAAACATAAAAGATTGCATCCAGGTATCCTCACATGAAATATGTATATCGTCAAAGATTTTATGACACACCGAGTAAGCAACAAACAAGTCGGTTGAAACTCAAACTTAGATAATATCTTTTAATGTTCTAATCTAAACTTGAATCTACGCTTCATTTTCTTACTTATTATAAACTGTATTCTTATTTAATAGAGGCCGGTGCAAGTCACTACGCACATCTTGAATAATAAGTAGCATGCCTTGGATGTGAATAAAATACATTTAGATATTTTAATTTTTAAGTATACCTATGTTTGTCAAGGAAAATTTTGTAAACGTGCTTGTAACCTATAGATAGATCTGTAATATATTTAAGTGTGCGAAACGATGTCAGTTTGTATCGGCTCCCTACTATAGAAACTCCCCTTACTTAGTGGTCCGTTGGACAGCTATTGGAAGTGCATTAAGGTATTAGCAAACAGATAGTGTTGGCTCCGCAGAACAAGAGGGTATCTACTTTTAATACATACACACTATACTAACTTACTGTATTTAAACAACATAATATATGTATACCTAAAGCAAAAACTCTTGTTTGTTCAAAGATCTAAATAATTTTAAATACAACTGCTCAATATTCATTTTCTCTACAATTTCCATCTGCAATTATTATTCGACTTTTGCCAAGATCAGGGCCACGCGGTCGCTTACCGGAGCCTATCTTGTTCAATAGCTTAAGTAAACTACTTTTTTTTCTTGGTCAGCGACATCGATGATATCATCCAAAGTACTGGCTTCTATAAATCATACTACGGTTCTCTGATAATGATATTTCACATCCGTTCAATTTGTTTAAAGATGGATATTAATCAATTTAGGCTCATTGCTTATTTGCTTAATAAAACTCGTCGTTTTTTCGAAGTAGACTTTGCTATTTTTTTTAAATAATTTATTAAGCTTATATTATTATGTATGTAATTATCAGAAATTATATGTTAATTAATAAGACAAATTAAAATCAATTATCTAATATTTACTAATAGATTCATTTTTAATAAACACAACCATTTTACCGCAAGTCGTTTCTTATTATATTATACAAAATTGATAAATTTCTATTAAGCGTATTTGTAGGAAATGTGGAACTGTGGTGGACGCTCACGAGGCGGTAGGAGGCATCGTCGCGCGGGCGCGTATCGATCGCGTTCGCCGCACCGCCGCGGCCTGCATACGAATACGAGATTCTCTCTTCGTTCAATCCCTTATCAAAGCACTACAATAGGGTTAGACCCCAAGTCCTTTTACAAGCTTGACCTTGCTGATCATTACGTCAACATACTCATTTTCAGCACTAACTATTCCATTTCTTACACGCTACAATTTTTTAAACTTTATTCATCAATGTTCTAAATTGTGTAAGAGTTACAATAAGGCTAAAAAGTTTGACTTCTCAAAGCTCAACGGACATAACAAAGTAATAACTATTAAAAAAGCTTTCCACAATTAGTCCTGACCCAAGGGACGCGACCTCGTTTCTATAAAATTACAAGACACAGTCCATATTACTATACTACATACATGTTACGTATTTTAGTAAATACCATAACAGAAATTTCTATAGTAAAAAACAATGTTTGATATGACTTATATGCATTTAATAAATAATACTTATGTAATCAGTTTGTAAAGTAGTGGATTTAATTTATTCAAGAAACAAAAGATTCTGTCCATATTATAATTTGAAAAGTTATAATTTCTTCTCAAAGTGTGTGAGGGATAATTATATTTTAGAGAGGCTTTTTCGTAAGAATAAGCATAATTTTCCGTCTGAAAACACCGTTTATTGCTTGCGGAAGTGCCTCCACCATGATCACTGCTTTTAACAGTTTGAAGTTTAATGAACGAAGTTTAAAAAACTCCACAATTGATCCAATTAACATGACACAGAGCAAAGTTCTTATAGAGTAAACAGGTTTAGGGTTAAGTAGGCTTAGGATGTTATCTAATTATTTACTTCAACACAGAAGTAGCCAATCAATAGCGGAATCCGCTAATCAAAGGAGCGGACCGGAAATAAGCAAGTAGTCATCAACCGGCAGTTATTTGGTAATTTTCCGTCTTCAATAATTGCAAATGATTTTACTTATTTGGTAACATCCAGTTTCAAATTAAATTCAAACATAGATAGCAACTTGTTGCGGACAGCTTTCTAGAGTACCTACCTTACCTACTAGCTATTATACCCCAGCATAGGTTGCTCATATGTAACCTAGAAATAAACTATCTGAAAGTGTATAAATTAAGATGTTCGTTAATGTCATTTTTAAAAGGTTATTTTAATTGTTTTAGAATTTTTGCAAGATTTACATTATGAAGTATAATTAGCTTTCTAAGTGAACCCATTATATTACAATATGCCGGGAACACTGGGTTTGCAGATCAATACGTCGACGCCAAATGGTCGGTGGCGCGACTAGTCGGATTCAACAGTTCGAATTTCTTCTATTGAAATTCTAACTAAGCAGGTACTTTATTTTTTTGCCCTCACGAAATATAGCATGTTCTTTTCTCTCATGACTTGCGTGCAAGGAGTCTATTACTGATAGCGTAACGGTGTAAATTAAATCTTATCCGAAGGTCTGGTTTTTGAAACATTATCATACTTATCTATTATTCACGTTGAGATTGAACGGAAATTAACCATTAAATTAAAGAATGTGATTCACTCACATATTTTTGGGCTTATGTCATCTGAATTAATTTCTTTGTATAGAATTTATCGCCCATGGCATGAGAAGTAGGTATGTGTGGTTGGTACGAGGTGCAGTGATTGTACGTGATTATTTAAAATGATTGTTCATTCGGGACACGGCACGTGGATTCAGCTCAGACGCAGCTGCCGCTGACATAGCATTATCCTAGAGTTTTTTTGTTAGCAGATGTTTCCATTAAATTTGCACGCTTGGCGAATTAGTTTAAACACTTCCGATTTGGACATAACAATATTTGATTTATTCGTGAATTTTTGGAATGTCATAGTAATGATATTTAATGTATTTTACATGTTATCAATAAAGGAATACTTGAGAGTATCTAAACATGACGTTATTGTGGCACCGCAAATTCAATAATTAATTTTTAATATATTTGAAGAAGATGGGCGATATCTACCATAGCCGGATGAGTTCATAGGTAGGTTACGCTGGTCGAAGATTGTTCATTGCATAAGTCTTGGTGGATGGCGGCCAAACAACGTGCATGAACCGGTTTATTATAAGAAACGTGTTAGGAGGTCCTTGTATTTTTTAATGTTATTAATGTAACTAATTGTAAGATCTAACCAGTAACTATTTTATTTTTCCCTATAAAATGTTTGTTGAGTTGCTTAAAAGCAGTTTGCTCTTTTGTACATATCTTAAATTGTTATAAATCATCGCAACATTATAAAGAAATAAGTAAAATTAAAATGTTTCGTAAAAAATAAAGAAAAAAAAATCAACTAATGCAATTCTTAGAACTTTGACAATTCTATTGAAATATTTTACCAATTCATGTTGGATGATAACCGAATTAAAATCGGCGTTAGAAAGATCATTCAATTTATATTCTTACCTGTTGTTTGAAAAGACCGGCGTCAATAAGCGCGGGATGAATAAGAAGCCTTTATAATGAATCACAGAATTCGTTCTTCTCAGAAATGCACATACACTAAAAACGTAAAACCACTCGGAGACGTACTAGGGAGCACTAAAAAAACGTTTTATCAGAAGAGAAATCGTGTTAACGATTAATTAGACAGTGTGTCGATAGGGCACCGCTGTTGTGCAGAGCCTCTAGTAGACTGGCACGGTATCGCGGGTCGCAGCTCGCAGCGCTCAGCGCGTTCCCCGCGCGGCCCGCCTCGGTCACCGCGCGGAACTCTCCCAAATAACCGCCGTTCATTTCAAACTTCCTAACAGTGAAATATTACTTCCTATCTGGTTATTAATATGTCTACTCTCTTTAATGTTTGTTTTGGTTTTGTTTTAATTTTTTTTAATTGTAATTTAATTAATAAAAATGGTATATAATAAAAACACATAAAACATGAGTAATTAATTAAATTATTAATAAAGATATTGAAACAATGTAAATGAATTAATATTATATAATGTTAATTTTATTTTATTGTAAATAAAAACAACAACAAAGACAGATAGGTATCGGAAAAACGTCGTAATTGTTATATATCTATAAATAAATATGATGTAGTAGGTATGTACATATTTGTTATGGCATCGTCTTCAGTTACCGGCGGCCACATGTTTTTGAATATTTCAAGTGTAAACTAAAAATAGTTATATATATTAGATAATAATGAACCATTATTATTTAAATATTAAAATTTTTGATATAAACTTTGTAACCAAATTGGTGAATTGCGTTTGTGAAATATGACTCTGAAAATGATTACTTAGTCAAATTTCCGGTAAAGTGTATTTTATTACGTAATTCCAAGAGAAAAACAATGCGGTGGTTGAAAATTCGGGGTAGATGAATTAATTACGGGTAACAGTAAGCTGACACCCGGTTGACTGCCCCGCCTTCCGCCATTAAATTAGCATGTGGCGCATATAACAATTGGTTTAAGTTATAATGATTATTAGTTCACTTATTAACTTAATATTCATTATGTTATTATTAAACTGAACAAATATTGTGAGATTAGGTTTTTGAGTATCCACCTTTAAAACTTCTGAATTATTGAGGTAAAGTAAGAGATGTGGTAGTTAATTTAAAATATCTATTTAAATTTATTACATAATTCGTTTCTTGTGATTACTCCTAATCGTAACACTTTTGAAACAATTCACTGACTGACATTTATGGATATTGTATTTTTGAATGTTTGCTAAATAATATAAATTTTGTATTTAATATATATTCCATTTTTACATATAAGTATACATTATTACTAGTAGTAGTAGTACCTGGTATTATTTCATTAAATACGCCATCTAATAAAATATTAAGAAAACTTAATAAATATAATTCTGTGTAATTCAAAGAATTAAACTATGATAGTTTTTGTGAATTAATTGCCATGAATAAATCAGTCGCGTGCGGTTTGGCTTGCTACTCGACACCAGGTGGCATTGTGCACAGGTGGTATACGAAATAATTCTTATAAATTGATTATTTGATATGCATTTAAATATATTAAATAAATTTCTTATATATTATGTTATTTGATATTTTCTTAATTATTATCTAATATTAATTAATAACGACATCTGTAGTTCTCAACAAGAAAAGTGATATTTACTAAAATATCCAATAGATCGCGTTACTAGTATGACGCTACCACTTGCATATCGACTAGAACTATTAACAAGTTTTATCGAATATTGCGATTTGCGGGCTAATTGTCATTACAACAGCGGTCGCCATTACATATCGCTTTAGTGGATTTTGTATTCGTGAAAGAAATTGCTTGTGTCAAACAACAGCGCGCCATTTGTTTCAATTTAAGTTTGTTGATCATTTTGTTTGTGATTGTTTTTAAATTTTTTAACTGAAGGTTTGTTCGTTATTCAGTTATTATATAAATAGCGTTATTTTATTATCATGTACTAATTTTTAAAACAAATATTAAATCTTTAAAGTGCTTTTTCATTGTTGTTTAAATTGTACTGAAATATAAATCATATTCAATGTATATTATTAAAATATATTTTAGATGGCACCTCCTAGAAAAATATTAAGACGACAATTAGAGATATTAGTAGATTATCTGGAAGAAAACAGAGATATTTCGAGAGGAACACCATTTTCACCAGTAGGTCATGATGGCATGATGTCCGCTAAAGTTAAGTGGAATGCTCTGGCGAAAAAATTAAATTCAGTGGAAGGCGGAGCTCACAAGTCACCTGAGGGTTGGAAAAAGGTAGGTTCTATATTTTTATAGTTCTTCTTTAAGTATTGAATTTGTTTATTCAAAGTAATAATTGCAGGCCAAGGACAAATAAGTATAGACAGTAGTAAATGACTGAAATATTAATATAAATAATAGAATATGTGTAATTATAGATAAAATCAAAGTAATTATGATTACTAATCTAAAATTAAAGTAATCTATCCTAAAATACAGATATTTATATACTTACCACATCAATAGTTTTGCTTACTATCTTTTTTAGTGTTGCGAATCGTCCGTCTGCCTTATTCTTTTAGATTAACAGGATAATATTATAATAGTAACTGGACTTTCTTTATTTTTTTAGTATTGGTTTGAATGGAGACACAGGTGTAGAAAAAAGGCTGCAAATGTACGACAAAGTCAATCAAATTCCGCTAATGGCTCGCACAAGACTTCGTTGAATGATGTTGAAGTCAGAGCGCTAAATATTAATGGTAAAGATATCGTAGATCATGTTGAATCAGGACCTAAGAAATTACAAATATTTTTATCTGAAGATTCTGATTCTGAACAACCAATTAAAGATATTGAACAAATAACTTCTGAAGATGTTAAAGTGAATACAGGAAGTAGAAAATTCATAACAGGTACACTTTATACTATTGTTTTTAAATGTATTTTATACATATCTCTTTAGAGAAAGTAGCATCAATTGATTTAGTCTTGGTGTTTCCACTTTCCATTATAGTAAGAAATAAATAGTGTATAAAAAATAGTAATATTATCTATAAAGTATATTAATTATAATAAAAAAACATCTTTTAGTGCATTTAATTATTAAATTTAAGTATTAATTTCCAGAAAATACATTAAGAAATTCAACACCACCACCAGAGTGGGCTATTATGTTGGAAGATCGTAGAATAGCAGCTGAAGAACGAATAGCAAAATCTTTAGAAACTATCGTCACTTTAATGCAACTCCAAGAAGATAGAAGAGCAATTATAGAAGAGAAAATTGCAGATACTTTAGTGGCCATCACTAGCAATCTCAAGGAGCTGCATAGTGAAAATAGAAAACACTTGCATTGTTGCAAGTCGAACAATGAAGAGACTGAAAGTTCATCTATGAAAGATGTTATTTTTCTATAATATTTAAGATACATATTTTTATATTTTATTAATTTTCATGCTTGTTTATTTTTCATGAAAGCTAGTGAATGACACATTTAGTTAGGAGGTTATTATAATATTATATCTGCACAATATGTAATTGGTCTCAGCGCTCCCTCTACGTTGTACTGGCACTATAACAATGTGTTCTAAATTCCTAAATGCTTATTTGTTAGCCACTAATGAAATATGTTAAAAATGGGGGGCAGAGAAGTGTTTTATTGCATAGCGTAATGAATTATTGTGCGGAATGTGTGATAGGAAGGGGGTAGTGGGCGTCTAAAGAAACGACGTTTATAGTTTATATTAGTAATTTTATTTTTTCCTTAAAATAAAAAAAACTCATTCATTTATTATGTTATTAATTAAATTTATTATTGCTATTATTCATTGCTACAAATTATTTAAAAGTTTAATATCTATACTAAATGAAAACCCCCGTTTAGTTATTTTTTACATTTTAGTACCTGGAAGTTGTTTTTTTTTTAAGTTTTTATATGTATTTTAGTGAGTAAAATACTCATTGTTTTGTATATAACACTTAATTTCTATTTATATAATAATGTGTACATATTCTTTGTAAATATATTTTTTTAATTATGTATAATGTATTTTTATTATACAGTTAATGAGAAAATTCAAATATAAGGCATTTCATAAATGTAATAATATTTTCTTTTTATATTTAACTCTCCCTTATCATTATAATGCACAAATATTTTGCTTCAATAAGAATATTAATTGCTTTTTTTACGCTTAAATGAAAAGTACGTAATGGGCAGAGAGTATGACAGTATGTTCTTAAGCTTCTCTGGATTTAATAATTTATTAGAGCGCAAAATGCTATAATTTATACAATATTATAAATGTGAAAGTTTGTGAGTATGGATGTTTGTTACTCTTACGCCAGAACGGCTGAACGGATCTGGATGAAATTTGGCACAGAGATAGATTATAGTCTGGAATAACATATAGGCTAACTTAAGGCTAACTTTTTATCTCAAAAAAATGTACGGTTCCCGTGGGATAAGTTTGTTTTTGTTTTAGATTCGCCTAGAGGCGAACCTGAGCGAAGCAAGGGTGAGCCGCTAGTATTATATAAAGTACTCCTACCAAGAACTATTTTTTAGTTTTTATACTTATTACTTAAATATATGGGGCTATGACGAATTGATAGTATAATCTTAAGGTAACCCTGTCTCACTATACAAGTGTTGTAAACCAAAGAACAAAGCGTACAGAAAACACCTGTACGGCTTGAGTGACCTCGGACAACCCCCGTTAGGATAAAGGATGTGGGACTTCAGTTCTGCGGATTCCTTTTGCACTTCAAGTGACATTATCGAAGACACAAAGTTTTAAAAAAACATTAAATTGAAAATTAATTCTAAATCCTAAACACCATCCATCCTCGTAATCCATATTCGAAATCCCAAATCCATCATAGATAGAAAACTTCTATGCCAAATAAAAGAAAGTCGTGCTCACATTTGAATTTCGGTAAAACTCCTAGATACATATACCTATAGTACTTATGTATATTAAATTAATATATTAATTATTGTGCATATAGATTGATCAGATTTGTCTTATTTAAAGGTATGGAGGCGCTAGAAACTAGTATTAATTACTGGGAGGACGCACTGGCCGCGTTTTCGATAGGTGCGCGCGGCGGAGTGACGGGCACTCTAGCACTCACCTCGCCAGAAGAAGCAGAGTTCTGTCGTGAAATACAGGATCTACTACAAAATGCTTATTTATTACAGGTAATTAATAATATTTACTGAAATTCTTAAAAAAAGTGTTACATATAATATCTAATATAACGATGAGGTACAATTTGTGTTTTAAAGTAATTAGGTATATTTAGATAGTATCGTCGGTACCTTAGACAGGATTAAAACTTCGTCTCACTTTGGTAATCGCTATAAAGTCAGTAAAATCTATAGGCGACTAGACATAAGTCGCTAGACAGGACGGCGGTACGTAATTCATGTTGAGAGGGAAGACGATAACAAGATTATTTGCTATGAAATTGAATTTTCATTGATGAAACCGGCTAAATTATGGGCTTATTGCTTATACATGTTATTTAGTTGAAGGACTTGGATTTTAATTAACTAAATGCAAAATGATGTTAGTATGCTCATAATAATTGCTAAATTGGATTCGTTAAATGTAGAGAATAGTAAACAATATAGTCAGCAACGTCTGTAAATATCTATTTTTACCATACGGGTGACCTTCTGGTTAATGGGGTACAAGCCCATCACTACTATAACCGGCACTTAGATCAACCAAATTTTATCCTAAAAGAATGAAACCACATAAAATGTCCTTTTAATTTGCGACATTATATCCTGAAATATATTATCACGGGCTTCTCATTTCCATCGAAATCGCCTACTGCATGGATTTTTGGAACGAAGTTCCTTATTGGACGATGCGGAGGGGTACCCTAGCCGGCAAAAAACCACGTAACGAAAATGCGTGGAGTAAGATTTTTTTTAAGTTTTTTATAGGACTAAACGAACCTTAACTTCATAAAAGTAAGAGTATAGATAATATTATTAAATAATAAATAACGGGAAAATTCACTTTTATTTTGGACCTTTTTTGAAGAGACTTAAAGTTCTGTTCAAAAAATAAAAATCGAACCTGCCAAATACATAATATGAGAACCTCCTCCTTTTTGAGGAAGTCGGTTGAAAATTACTGAACGACAGGGATAAAAACTTTAAATATTTTACTTTGATATACTGTGACAAATATTGTCTATTGTCGACAAATTGCGTGTTTTATTTCAGGAGCGATGCGAGTTGCTGTTCCTCGACCAGCGGTCTGTGCTGTTCCGCTCGGAGAGCGGCGGCGCGGGTGAGGGCTCGGTGGGGCGGCGCACGAGGCTCTTGTCCTCGCACACCGCCTCGGAACACACGCGGAAAGAACACCACTCTAGTGCAGAGTCCTTCGCCTCCGCTGAAGACGAGGTTATACTTCCCGTTCCTACTGATATTATAAACGTGAAAAGTTGTGAGGATGTATGGATGTAGTATGTTTGTTACTTTTTCATGCAATACCTACTAAACAGATTTTGATGAAATTTTGCATTAGGTGATGTATCTTAAACCACTAGTAATATCTTTATACCTGTAATTTATAAATATATCTTTATAGCTAAGCTTCTTCTAGTATAGCTATATACCTATATACCTATACTTATTTTATTCATGCATTAAAGTTAATATAACGTGTGTATATTATTATGTGTTCTCAGGTAGCAGATTTAAGAGAGTTTGATGATTTAACAGAAAATTTGGCTGAAATAGAAAACTTAGAGTTATATCAAGCAGCTGTGAAGCAGTTGGAAGCTGGAATTCCTTACAGGTAAAAATGTTCTTATAATGGCTTTATATGTTGTTATACATCCAATATAGAGTAAACAATGGCCCAACCAAATGTCTCAATATATTTATTTATTTAAAAATCCAGACTACACTAACAGTCTACGCTATTGCCACAAAATAATACGCAGTGGATAGCGTACTGCGGAACTCTTCAGTGGCTAGTAAACTCCTCGAGTTGATATGTATTGTTTAGACAAGTCCCATACATTTTAATTCGTCAAAATCGTGATTTTTATATTTACCATAAATTAGCTGTTCCCTGCGGTTTCACCCGCTTTAAATTTATTTGATTATAAACATCAGTTTTATAATAATACATGGAAGTCTGCCCGATTTCTTGACATTTATTATTACTGCTCCGCTTCCTTGGGTAGTAGCATGATGATATATAGCTTATAGCCTTTCTCAATGAACGGGTTATCTAATAAATTTTTTTTTCAGATTAGATTAGTAGTTCCTGAGATTAGCGCGTTTAAACAAACAAACTCTGCTTCTTTATGATATTAGCAGGGGCGGTTTATGAATTTGGAGGGCCCTGGGCTAAAACTTCTTGGGGGCCTTAAATAATTGTTATTTTGTCTTTATAAAATCTATAAGATAGGTGGTACTAGATGAAATTAAAATAATGCTATTGCTTGATTCTTAATTGATTTTAGGGTCTTAATTTTTTTATTTTAGATAATTTCTTATTTTATAAATTCACAATATTTACCATTATTATTCAGAGGGGGCCCGTTATATCTTAAGGGCCCTGGGCTGGAGCCCATAAAGCCTATATATAGATCCACCCCTGAACATTAGTATAGATATGTGCGTGTGTCAGGACGCTGCGCACGGAGACGGTGGGGTGCGCGTCGGACGCGGAGTTCCTGTGCAAGCTGGCGTGCCTGCGCGCGGCGCTGCGGCACGCGCTGGCCGCGCCCGCGCCGCGCGCCTGGCTCGTGGACGCCGGCCGCCAGGTGCTCACCGACCTGCTGCTCTTCGCCGACAAGGTACTACTACTACGACAACCTACTGATGTTACCTACATAGTTAGGCTCTTAAATCTAACCTATTAATAATTTTTCTCCTCGACTACACGTTTGACTTTTAATAAATAACAAACTAGAAGTATCATCAAAAATACTTACTATTAATATATTCTATAACTATTAATAAATTCCAGGAGCCGAAGGAGTTCCTCGTGGCATACGAGGAGATGGTGTCGTGGACGAGTGACCCCGCCAACTGGCACACGATTGAGAATGAACTCAAAAGTAAAGGTGTTAAGGTCAGTAATATGTATTATTTTTGAACCGTTTGTTTGAACTGAACTTTGAAGAGAAGTTTCTTCCTTCCAAGTTTATTTATAATATACAAACGTTATGTTTTTAAGCTAACTAAATATTTAATAACTATTTAGTTTTTATTTCTTTTTCTTTTGTTGTCTCCTTTTATCTACGAGACCTATCTTTATTTCCCACTATCTCACCACGACAAGATGAACGCACGTTGCAGGTCATTCCATAAGCAACTTATTGATACCGTATTAAATTATTATAAACCAATATCGTGCGAAGTGTATGTATATATGTGGTATATTATGTCGTGGTCGGTGCAGGTGCTGTCGTTCTACGACGTGGTGCTGGACTACATCCTGCTGGACGCGTTCGAGGACCTGGCGGCGCCGCCCGCCTCCGTGCTGGCCGTCGTGCGCAACCGCTGGCTCTCCGACGGGTTCAAGGAGAGCGTGAGTTACTAGTTACTAGAGAAATTAGTTTTAATATAAATCAATAGATGGCATCATATCTATCGATTTTTTATTCAAGTTAGTGTAAAATTATCAAAAGATTAGAATGGAACCCAAATAGTGTGGTTGTAAAAATTATCTATTTAATAGGTAGCTACTGTGGGATGCCAATTTAATAGGTAAACACAGTCTATTAAAATATATTTATTTCAACTTTAGCTTTACACAAGAAAACTTATTGTTATGGAACATTTACACAAAAGATTACACGATACTTTATCGTTATTATTCTAATGTTTACGCGTTCGGCGCTCGCGGCTCTCTTTCTGGTCGAGCCACGCCGTCGCGTCGCTCAAGCGTTCGCGGGTGACGGCGTGGGGGCGCGGGCACCCAAACTATACGGCCGCACCAAAACGCGGCTCTACAGGATTGTACATGTTCCGACACGATATCCCGCGATCACCGTTGTTTCTAACAAACCCCGCGTTACATCTAGTAATTGGAGAAAAACGAAATAATGCGCTTGTAGATCAAATTTATGTAATTTTGCGTTCTGATAAACTATTGACACGAGATGGCACTATAGTGCTTTTAATTTGAAATCATTCACCATGAAAATTGATGCACTTGACAACTTTTTCATTTAACATTTTATTTTGCGGAAAGCAAATATAAATAATTAATCAATGATTTTTTATACAAGCATAAGAATAAAATTCCATACAGTAGCTATTCATTTTAATGGAAATACCTACTACTTCCGTAAGCTTATTTTGGTCAGAGCAAAAATAATATATTTTTTTTAATTTTTCAGGCATTAACCACCGCAGTGTGGTCAGTGATCAAAGCCAAGCGCCGCTACCTGCAGTACCCGGACGGGTTTATGGCCCACTTCTACTCTATATCCGAGCACTTGCTGCCGGTCCTCGTGTGGGGGTTCCTCGGGCCCCGCGAACGGTTGAAGGACGTCTGCGAGACGTTCCAGGCGGAAATTGTAGGGTTTATACAAGATTTGTTCAGCTTTCAGAAGTGCAGGTATACCAATGTTGAAGAGATGTCTGTGGATATAATGCAGCACGCGCGCTCCAGGGCTGCCAACATCACGGATAAACTGAGGTACTAAACGGTAATTCACTTGAGGGCCTCTAGTAAGTTTTAGAAGTAGGTAACAATACAACATATAAACGTATGTATTGTACCTATCTCTTAACAACGTCTTTAGTAGAAACGACAAAGGACCGATGAAACTAAACTCTCACCAAGGCCCAGGGGACGATTGCAATACTGTTACCATTTACATGTTAACATAGCAGCTTAACGGTGGTGGCGCCATTATGTCAATTAAGCAGTCCCTTAATCAGCTTTCACATATATGGACAACCTCTGTAGTGATGGAAGACAGTGTGATCATAATTGAAGCTTAAGAAATATTTTTCTTTAATATTTGAATCAAAATTAGAAATTATATATTCTGAAAACATTAGACTTTAAATTACAGACAATACTAATTATAGTGTAATTATTTGTTATATTTTTTAAATGGTTTTTATTTATTTATATTGGACATTATTTTTATTTGTCTATTAAAATCAGGCTTGGTCGTTTCAATGAATGTTAGCACTGTAACTGTTTGTTCTGCAGTCATGTACGGTGTATGTTTGGTACTCAGAGTTAACTCAATGTAAGCATATCGCTTTTTAATAATACTAATTATAAATAACAACCAATTGCCGTAATGTATGACATTCCGAATGCAATTAAATGAAGTTCTTAGTTGATAGCTGTTGTTGAATGTTAAACGTGTAATAAGATTAAGTGACTTACACACTGATCCAGTATTAATCACCAACTCATTTTTAATGTTAAAATTACATAAAAATTAATAATAATCGCAAATGGAATTGCCAAATTTTTATTATTGGTGAAACTGTGCCATTGAAAAATTGTATCTAATTATTTTTTAACTGGCAATAATTGTAATTGATGTTATTAAATAAAATTATGAATTAATATTATATCAGTGTTTAATATTCTATTATATATATATATAAATATTTATATAAAAATAACTCGTCGTATTCAGAATACACAATTATGTAATTTACTCTAGAACAATTTGAACGGACTATTTTAGATTTAAGAGGAATGTAGCTTTCAGCAGCTTATTAAAGTTAAACTTCTCTTACAAGTACGACTTGCAGATTAGATATATGTATGTACCTACTACTGTAGATTACATCTGGTATATTAAGAATTATTAAACTCTTATTTAATTCAATTACACTTTGGTATTTTTTTAATTTATTCTTCTAGTGCGTATTATTTAACACGTTCAATGCCACTACGATTTTCATGATGTCTTCGCGGATGCCGCATACATTTCACGTTGGACTCGCCAAGCGAGTCGCTGGCACTACAATATAATTTGAATGGACTCGCGACGCGAGTTCACTGGCATTATGTAAGGGTAAAATTTATCTTTTGTTATTATTGTGGCTGTCTTAGTCTCCGTAACGTTTGTATCGGAAGTATAAAGTGTTTGACGACTATTCAGTGTGTTTTAACTTAAAAACATGGCAAAAAAACTCAAAGGATAAAATAAAAGGTAAGTTTGTTTCGTCATTTAGGCAGTGGTTGTCAACTTTTTATACAGTGGTTATTTTTAATGTTATATTTTGTACTAATAATATTTCTGAACAGCAATTTCGCTCTGAATATTTAACGCTGTCTCCTAGTTCTACGAATATGTTATCAACTTCTATAAATATATACCATTCGTTTTTAATGCAACGCTAATAATAAAAGGAAATAAATTCAAGTATTTTTGTATTTAAAATAATTTAAACTGAAATTAATCAACATTGTACCTATTTATTATTATGTAATATTATTTACAATAATAGATAATATTTTTAAATAATATAATTGAAATTTGACAATAAGTAACAACCTGTTTTTTTAGTGCTATTAGTCCCAGAAACGGAGCCTTATGACGAAGATTCAAAATGGAGCAGGTGAACGCATGTGATGACGAAAGGGTCGTACAAATCACTGATATGACATTAGAAAAAAGTTTACCGTGGTTTACAAGAGTAGTCAATGACGTCACGAATAAGGGTCCAATAGAATCGGCGAAATGGTAGGATTACCCAATGAGAGCTTCGTGAAAAACAATGTTATCAGTGCTTTTGTTTAGAAGGAGCGCGCACCGGCGCAATGTTATTTGTCTTAAAATTGTAAATGCAATATAAATATGACAATAATAAAGTCTACTTTTCTGAGAACGGGCCACCCTATAATGTGTTGTAAATTTGTGATGTCTGCAATCATTTATATAAAAGATTCCGAAAAGGGTAAATGGGACACTGTAACTATATATTTATAGTTAACTCTAGTACCTGTTTTGTTTCCTTATTTATCATCTAAAGTATGAACCTAACAAAATTTGCGAAAGGCTGGGACTGCGAGTGTTTCTGAATAAAAACAATACCTCTTTATTAGGTATACTTTTTGTTTATTGTTAGTATCTTACCCATTGGAATCTCAACTAATATTATAAAGAGAAAAAAATTAGTTTTATTCATAACTAGCGACTTACCCCAGCTTCGCTCGGGTGTCGCGCCTAGCTTGCTTCCCCATACAAACTTTCATCCCTATTGTCACCCCCTTCAGGGATGACTTCCGGGATAAAAACTTTTTTATTTCACTCACTCACTTTCATATCACGACATGAAAAAATTTTTTTTGTAAAAAATCTTTTAATTTTCTTCTATACGAAACTTGTCCTAACAATAAAAAATACAAAAAAAAAGAAATATCCAATTTGGTGCAGTTGATCGGAAGTTATGCGTGTAAATATATTTCGATGATTCATTTTTATTTATATAGATTTACACTTTACCTACAGTGAACGCCACATCAACCTACTAAAAATCGAAGTTATAGTGTTGACGACGTTAAAATTTGAGAATCTGCGGCATTGAACTCACCTAGCGAGTTCACGGCATTGCAGAATAATTTTTTTCTTTTAAATGTAAAAAATTTCTTTACATCCAGGCCACCATGTAAACGTGAACATGACATCATATTAAGTCTACACCGTAATTTGGAACAGAATATACAGAAGCGTTTTGAAAATATTACCGAAAAACACTGAACTCGCCGCGCGAGTCCCCGGCACTGGAATAAAATTAACGTAAACTCGCAGGGCGAGTCGGTGGCACTGAACGTGTTAAATATGTTACTTTATTTCATTGTACTCAAACAGATATTGTATACAAAGACAAAATTATGTTCAAAATTTACATTTAGTAAATATTATATTTTGGGATAGAATAATTCTTATGCCTTAACCGATGCCTTTAATTTGTTTTGCCACATGCTTTAAATACAGCATTTATTTTTAAAGTACTAATTTAATTTAATACAATTTATATTGAATTATCTTTAAATGCTTTTGCCACTCACATTATTTATTTTTTTCATACGGACTGGTATGAAAGCAATTCTCTATAGAACAAAATGAATGTTAATATGTATTATATATTGTTATATTATAAATCAACATGTTTAAGGTAATTAACTTGCTAATTCACATTTTATTATTAAAAAAGGTTGTAGTTTTAGGTCATAGAAAAACTCTTCAACCACAGCTGTTTTACTGTTTTGTTGTACAGTCTTGGATCTGTATCTATTAATTTGTAAATATATTTATCAATGATATCTGGCTGTTTATTTTTAACCTCTTCTTTGATGTACCTACTTACCTATATATTCTAATGTTTGAATTAAAAGCTTAATCTTAACCTACATAGTTAGTCATCAACAAGTGAAGGTAAAGGATAATAAAACGCTTTTTTATTAGAAAATTTAGTATCTATATATCATAATAAATTTTTACAATATAGACTTGCAATAAATTTTAACGTAAAACAAAAAAAATGTGTAAATAAAAACAAATTAAAAATTGAATACTTTTACTGTGAGCACCGAATAATAAATTTCTTCTTTAACGTGCAAATGAGATATCGTGAGGATACTTAATAATAAAGATAAACAAAATACATTTTTTTTTCAATTGATTTGCTGTGTTCTGAGTGCATTCTATTTCCTACGCAAATAATTCGAGGTAAAATTTAGAATATACGTTACGTATTATTTGAGATATATAATAAAACGTACAAAAATATGGAACCTGATATTCAAAGTTTGTATATAGTTGCCAATATTTTGATATATGTATTCGTTATACGTTTTAAATTAAAAAGAGTAAAATTTCAACAGTCTTTACAATAACGCGTAATATATTTTCTGTTATAGTCAGTTATTCAAGATACTCTATACAAATATGTAAAATATATCGAAGGAGAAAGCCTGGCAACAACATTAGTATACATAATTTTTCTATAATACAACAACGATTATACATGTATAATTTATTTGGTTTAGTGCACAGCGATTTAAATATAATCTATTAATTACTAACAACATAATATAGGGATATTTTAGTTAACTTTTTTTAAATAAACTCTCGATTGACAGGCTCCCTCGGAAACAAAAGCTTACGACGTAATAAGTGAGAATCGACACCTTCCCCACAGGACTAGACACTAGATACGATCTGAATGAGTAAACAAACACACAAAGAAATGCATGCATTCTTCTTAAAATAAATGGAATCACTCTGTGACGTTTGAAACTAAATGTTCCTTTACTCAATATATACAATAAAAGTTAAATAACTCTGGACACTCGAATGAATCTCGAGAAAATTGCGGTATCACTCTAGGCTTTGTTCTATTGGAGGTGCGGTTCTTTACAGTAGGACTAATAAATTAGCATTCGATAAGAGATCATTCGCGGCAGACTAACAATTATATAAAATCTGTCTTTATATAGGAATTTATATTAGAAAACGTCTATCACAATTTTCATCAATTAGATCCACACACGAAAGTTACGTGAAATAAAAATAATCAAAGTCGCGGCGCGGCACAGAGCTCGCGCCGACATTTAAATAAATAAATATTTTGGTGAACTAATACTTTTAGTAATTAATAAGTCTGCTAAATTAGTTGCATAACAAGCAAATCAAAAGGTCAATAGAGACGGACGGCTCTAAGCGACAAGATATATCAGACCCAAACGTTTTAACTTCTAACATCGCTCGAAGTTTCCGAATGAATAGCAACCATCATAATATAAAAAATAAAGCTACCCTAGTGAGTTGCAGCCGTTCGCGGGAAGACTCCGCTCGCGTTATTATCTACGTGTAGAGTGCGGGTGATCGGAGTGGACGTGTTCGCATATGCAGTGCGTGCGTGCTTCCGGATCGGGGGGTCGCGGGTGAGGGGTGCTGAGCGAGGGATGGGGGGTCGCGGGTGAGGGGTCGGGGTTCGCGTGGCATCACTCGGGCTCGGGGGAGTCGGGCGCGTCGAGGGTGAGGGTGACGCCGCCGGCAGCGCGCACCTTCTTCAAGTAGCTGACACTGTCGAACTCCAGGCAAGTCTGCACATAGCAATTATGCTGTTAGCGCTTTTCCACGTCTTCGCTTCAGTCTTATATTATAAAAAAATATATCTCTTGTTTTTTTTATTTATATTCATCAACAACTCTATCTTTTGGCTCTCCGTCGACTACAACTTGTCTCGGTCTCCTTAATTTCAGCTACGGTGTGCCCTGTGACGATGACGGATAGTCATTTCAAATAAATTGCACTGATTAGTGCCTTTTTTAAGATACTTTTTATGCAGAAAGAAATTTAGTAAAAAAACTCTTAGGATCACTTAAAAATTACGTACTAGGCTCATACAAATTTATTTTATTAGCAGCAAAATAATGTTTGTATTTTAATATCTTTTACTGATACTATGAAAAAAAATGTGGCCGCTGAACTAAAATTTTTTTAACCAATTTTCATTTCCAATTTAATATGTCTATTAACTTTATTATTTAGAAAGTTTCGTCATTTTCAAAAACTAAGAGAGATTTTCAATACGTCCGTCACTGGCCGAGCAACATTTGTAACTCAGAATGCTGTAACCCTTCACCACATCATAGTGTGCAACTTGGCAACTTAAACTTCGCCACATTAAAACAAGTTGTAGTCAGCGGCGAACCTTACTTATTAGTAGACATTTAATTACTTTTCTGTAATACTGCTTTTTGCTTTTACACTAAATTTCTGTCAACCACAATTTCAGACATAACAAAAAAAATTAAAAGCAAATAAATTGCAATAAACTGGAGCAAATATATGGTTAATTAATATGAATATATTTTATGTATATGTTAGGTTTTATTAGTAGCAGCATAAAACTCAGGTGGATGTATATATTAGTAGGAGTGAAAGCAGAAGTGTAAGCAAAGACAGGTTGCGTTTTAAACTTTATTTAGAATAATCACAATGACAATGAGAATCAACACTGGTAATTTCTAACACAACAAAAACAAACAACGTAAACGAGATCTAGAAATAAGTCCAGACCAATATAATAAAAATATAATAAGCGAAGGACGAGTCGGTCCTGGTCCTACCTGTACTGAACCCCTCTCGCGCACCCGTTCTAAGCGGCGTGAACATCACAAATTTGTCATTACAATAAACATGTCAAATATAAATTCAGTCAAAATATTATAAAAATTTATCAATAATCGACAGAGAATAGATCTATAGTTCTTACATTTAAAGTTACTATCGGCAGTCTTATAAATTGAATCAGTCTCTCAAATGCTATAATTAATTAGGTCTATTGTCATCACAACCCACATTTTATCACATGGTCAGTTTAAAGTAACTAACGTCAGTCTTAAGGTATAGAGTAATGTTCATAATACACTAAATAATTTATGCTTTATAATTAAATCTAATATTATCAAAAATCGGCGCTGCCAAAAATAAGATCAGGCGGTTTTCTTCTACAACTGTACATTTACTAGCTATTGTTCAACGTTAGATGCACACGTGTAGGTTCACTGGAATGCGAATTTTATTTAGGGACCGTTAATCGTGACTACATTAAAGAGTCGGAAAACAATCTAGTAATCTGTCAAAATTTCTTATTTGAAAATTTTCACATAATTACGAGCAAATCGCATTCGATTTCATGATGCATGGCAACAACACTTGTGACGCATAAACAAAAGTTCAACTTTTGTTTCAATCTACGCGAGCTTTGTAAAATGTAGTGATGTAACGAATGTTCGATTTTTCACATTCGCTAATGCGAATATTCATTTCCAATATTCACGAATGCGAATGTTGATTTTGCAAATACGCGCGGGAAAAATGTTAGACAAGTTTGACATTTCGTGTCGGCCATGTTTAAACCGAACCTAGCCCCGTTACAGGTTGAATGAACGAAGTTAGTCACATAAAGTTTATTCGAAGAGATTCGTTGTGATTTGAGGTTAGGTTAGTTTAGTATTATTGGATTTGTCAAATTTAACTTATACCTATTCAAAGGTGACAAAGTTATATGAAAAACATGAGTAAAGCCATAAACAGAGAGTGGACTGAGTGTTTCTTTGCCAGTCGTCAGCTAAAATTGCAGCAAAACGACAGAGACAAAACAAATGTGCGAACAGAAATCTTCTGTATTAATTGGAATACAATTAAAGAAGATAGGTATTTAAAATGATTCCAACCAGCCATTGTAATGTTATAATTTTCAATAATTTTTTGTTTTTAATTTCATTTACAAAATTCAAATTGGAATAAAGACAGGTATTAGCCGCACGTTCGCTTTCTCTTTCTACAGAGTGGTCAATTGCATGAGAGTATTCTTCCATTCCATTCTCTACGTCTATGAGTAAAGCACAGTTATATTAGCATTCCATATCCAACCATTCGCATCGTTTCTTGAGAATACGAATGGCAAAAAATATGCGAATATTCGTGAATGCGAATATTTGTTACATCACTAGTTGAAAGCATTAATTAAAGAAATAGCAGTAAAGCAGTGCAGCAGAAATAGCATTGATTGATTGGGAACAATGGAAAATTATTCGCTGTGGCGTGCAAATAGTAAAAAAAAATGACATTTCGTCCTAAAAAAAATTTACAATTTGATATCGATATTATTACACGGTAAAGTAATAAATAAAATCGATATTGAAATCGACCAACTATTCGAGCACCACAGCGATGGGGGGGAGGGTGGAGGTTGGGGATTAGGGGGTGGTCAGTAGAAGTTGCGGCAGAGGAGTGCCGCGAGGTAGTTGGGATGGTGTAGCGGCGGCCACAGGCGGCAGTGCGCGTGGGGCGCGAGGGGCGCGTGCGGGGCGGGGGAGCGGTGCGCGGGGGCGCGCGCGGTACCTTGCGCGCCAGCTCGGCGGGGAAGGCGGCGAGCCCGGCGGGCGGCAGCTTGCTCAGCGGCGAGTCCGCGTACTGCACCAGCGTCTCGTACGAGTACGTCTGCCTGCTACCGCCACCTGCTATACACACAACTGTTTACAACAAAACACACACATACGTTTTATTTCAATATAATTACGAGTTACAACTAAATACATATATGCATACATTATATATTCTGCATATACATTTACACACACAGACGTTATATTTAAATTGTATTAGTAGTTATGTTAGTGAAAATTTGCATAATTACATATTAAATAAATAATGCGTGTGATATATTAAAAATGTTAACTCGAAATTATTCTATAATATTTTATGTCATTTATGAAATAGAATTTTAATTGTATTTAGACAAAAACATTTACATACATCAATTTTTATTTTAATAAGTCAGAAAAACAAAACAATTGACTGACCAATATACAGCAAGAATGGATCTTAGAAAATATGGTTATCAAACAATTAACAAGATGGAATGTACAATAAGTGAATAAGAAGCGTGATAGTTGCAAATGTTAATAACGACAAGTAACATTTACTACATATTAACATAATATACTGGTTACCGGTGCTTTAGCGCATTAAAAAAGTAAAGCAAAATTTGGCCTTATTATAGTGCTAGAAAAATATCAAATCTAAAAACGTACCATAAATCGTATGAAAATGAATTAGGAAATTAAGGTGAATATCTATGAAAAAACATTTTGGACGTATGGCGCCTTGAAGCAAAACTACTGGCGGAGTTTGAAGCAGTAAAGAACAAATGGTAAAAATAATATGGACAATAAAATGTATGGATCAAAACATGACGCAAAGGATGTGGTGAGATTGTAATATACATATATTATTCTATCGTATTTTCATGCCTGGTCAGTTAATTCATAGTGAAAAAAAAACATACGAAAATAATAAATATATATATAAGAAATTATACCGATTTTTTTTCAAGAAAACTCAAATTGTATAATTTTTTAAACACTCGAAAAAGTAAATTTAGAAAATATATATTTACACTTAGAAAAAAAAATGTGTATATGTTTGTAATGAGATTATTGCACGTGCCCGTACAATATGGAGGTAATAACTGTAACACATAGTGTGGGTATGGGAATCTGTTGGAATATAGGGTTGTGTGAGAATGTAAGAGTGTACCCCTATACCCTCTAGGGGTGTGTAGGGGTTTAGGGGTATGTGGGGCTAATGAGCAGGGTTGCCAGATCGTATAATTGGATACGACAATTGTAAAATATGGTTATTTTATGTATATTTCATTTTAAGTTATTACGTATTTTTATTGAAAATTTTTATTCATCACAGACTATTTCTCAACAGTTTTGGTAATTTGAATTGGTATACATAATTTGAAGACCCAGCGGTATAAAATAAGTAGGCTCTACTGGCAGCCATGTTAATGAGTGTAGGATGTGGGTTAATGAGTGTGTGTGGGGGTCGTTACCTGCGCTCTTGTCGGTGGAGGTGGCGCGGGAGAAGCGCGGGCGGCGCGGCGCGGCCTCGCCCTCCGCCGCTGCACACAACGCACGCTCAGCGACCACGCCCGACGCATGCGCGATTAACTATCATACTTTTACTTTCCGACTTTGACACTTTATAATCAAATGTACTGCAATATCGTACATACATATTATATCGATTGATATTTGTATCTAATTGTTTAGTTTTACCTTATCTTACAAATTTTCAAAATTTCGTTTTAAAACGATCACAAAATACTGTTTAAATATGATAGTTAATTCAGCAACAGCAAATCGCCGGGTTGTTTGGCAGATGATTGAAATTTAATAATGGCCGAATAATGTATATTAATTTGGAAAACTGCCGCGACGTGGTACGGGATGATGAGCGAGTTATAAACTATATTGTAAATAATACATAATAATATATAGATATAATACACCTTTAAACATAATGGAAATGCAATAAATGTTGCTAGGATCATGAATTATGGTGTTACTAAAATTTAATACTGCAACTAATGTCGTAAATTTTTACTACCACAATCCGGCATGATTCAGTAAGTCTTAATTTATATTATTAAAATAAACGCCACGCGTGTTTAGTTAAAAAAAAGTACTTAATTAGAGAAGTTCTTAAATCCCATGCTTTTGAGATCAGCATCAAACGAGGTTAGTATATATATTTATATTGCTTGTATAAAATAACGTTTTGTATATGTACTAAAATGTAGCATGCCTAAAAATAAAAAAAGTTGGCCGTCACGGGACGTGAAATCAGCAGATGCGAATTGTCTATGTCAATATTAGAATTCATCTATACAGATAAATAAAATTGAAGTGTCTGTTTGTGTATTGTCAAAATAACAGCGTTTTACTAAATGCATACGAAATTATATACGGCATTAATAAAAAACACATTTTTTTTGAAAATTTTTGTTCGTCTGTTTGTTCCGGCTAATCTCTGAAACGGCTGGACTGATTTTGACGGGTCATTCATTGGAAGATAGCTGATGTTATAAGGAGTAACATAGGCTACTTATATTTTACCTGCGGGGTCGTCGGCGGGCGCGGGGCCGGCGGGCGCGGGCGCGGCGCCGGCGGGCACGAACACGTCGTCGTCTGCGCCGTTGAGCGCGGCGTCGTCGCGCAGCAGCAGCGCGGCGGCGGGCCGCTGCGACAGCGTGAAGAAGTCGCCCGAGCCCAGCCCCATCGCCTCCAGAGCGCCCGCGCTCTCGAAATATTCGTCCAGCACCAATTTCGCCGTCTGTTATAATATTTATAACTAGCGTTTTACCGCGGCTTCGCCCGTGTAGTACATTAATGTATGACTATAAATATAAATAAATTATAGAATATGTTTGTCAAAATCCGTTCTGAAAATTTTTGTGTGAAAAAGAAATAAACAGACATGATACATCTTGTCATCGATATATCCTCACAAGCTTTTTAGAATATTACTAGGGTCACGGGTTTTCATCACGAACAAAAAAAAATTGGTTCAAATAAATGTTAATAGATGACGTTACATACATGGATTTGTTATTATAAAATTGTGTTAAATTAATAAAAGATATAAAATAGATTCCAAAAAGGTTTATTATTGTTTTAAAAAATATTCTAAGTGAAAGGAATCGAAATAATGCGCTCAAAAATCAAATTGATATAATTTTACTGATTATTGAAAAATCAACAATCAGATAATGGGTTTGTAGTATGTATTCACAGATGGCGCTTTTACTTTTTATGAATTGTTTATCAAGGTTAAAAATTGTTAGTTACTAATTTTATATATTACATTTATGTTAGTTTGCACATATTTATAATATAAAACATTATAACTATTTGCGAATAACGACATCTTTTATTTATTCAAAACCAACTAAAATAGCCCGAATTAGCGCTCTCCAATTTTTTGTATGTAATGAGACATCTGTACTAGTAAAGTATTATGTGATCTGTGGTAAGATTAACGGTTTAAAGTCACCAATGGTTTTAAAAAGTGAGCAAGTGTTTAATGTATTTTTGGGTTTAAGTTTAACAAAATCAATATCTAAATAGATTAAATTAATATGAAATATAAATGATGAATTTTATGGCTATCATAAAAGCATAAGCATATGTATATAAATATTGCAATATCAAATCTTTTTCTATAAAGTTTATATATTATATTCAATACAAGAAACTTTTTGCCAAGTAAAAAAATCTTTACAAATGGTCATATTTAAAATCTAAGAATAAATAAATAAATTTGTTTGGACATTAACACAGATTCCTACTGATATATATAATTAAACGTACAGAAGGCGTTTATATTTAAAGAAGAACATACCTTAACGAGATCCAAATTGTTGCCGGTTATCTTGATGGAATGTTGCCCAAAGGTGACAGTGTACTTATACTCCCCCAAGGCGGCGTCATTGGTAGAGAAGCTATGCAATAGAGCCCTGGAGTTGTTGTGAGGAGATTTCTGGAATAGATCAATAATACTTATTAAAGATGAGTTCAAGGCACATAATATGTAAAGGATTAGTTGGTACCTATAAATTGAACATTTTAACAAAACTAGAAATACAGTCACGATCATAAGTTTTTTATACTTTTTAATCCAAGATGGATTTTTTAAACAACAAATATATTCCTTGTTGTTGAATTACGATCATAATAAATACAATATGAAAAAAACCCGCAAAAATTGACTTTTTCCCACATAATATCATCTCGCTTAGAATAATATGTAGTCTGTAAGTTGAGACATTAGCGAGTAAGATCAAATGAACTCAAAAGCTAAAAGCTATCTTAATAGTAAGTAACTAGCAGAGGAGAGTCAACTCACCTCCCGTGGCCGGTCGTCGGAACCAGTGGAGTCAAGCGAGGCGCGCGAGGCGGCCAGCGCGCCGCCCTCCAGCGAGCCCTCCAGCCGCACGGGCGACGCGTTGCGCCGGATCGTATCTCCTATCAGGTGCTTCGCGTGGCTGCATATTACCACAGCATAAAAATATATCGTCGATGAACTTCCGATACCTCCTAACTAGCATTTTTGCACAAAACTTTATTTTAATGCTATCATTTGGCAAAAGCAACATAATACTAACTGCGTTTAATTATGATATCATAAAAAGACGTAAATACCAACCACCTGTTTGTTTTACTAAAATTCTCCATATTTTTTTTTAAATCAATAAATTAGTTTTATGTTCGTCCTATATATTTTTTTATAAGTAGAAGTAGGTAGAAGATCTCAAAAGTTCGCAGACGATATACAATAAGCGATCGCCCGTTGATTTTAACGGAAATGCTGTCAAAAACCAAAAATACCAATTTTCAAGTCATGAACGATTTCTAAATTAAAGCACTGTAGAGCAATCTCGCAGCATGTTACAGTTATGCCCGTTAATACTAAAGCCGTTTCTAATCTGTCTATAAAAGTATGTTAGCCGCAGGCTCTCGTGTCTCTTCTCGCACGATTGCCCTGTCTAGGTGCCCGAACGCTTTTCTTAGAGGACGTATCATGGATTAGTAAACTGGGGTACACTAGTTTTTATCCGACAATCTAATATAGACCGACTCAAACGTGACTTTCGAATATAGCTCTAAATGATTTTAATTTTTATGACAAAAACGTATAAAGTTTAAATCGTTGAGGCTTATATGGGTTAAATTAAATTATTCATTGCTACGTTGTCCTCAAAGCAGATAAAATATAATATTTCATGGTAAAAAAATTGTAACTATCAATGCGTGATATATCGTCATGCAACCGATTGTTGAATAAAATAAAACTAGAACTCTGAGTTCTGATATGAAAGTTTTGATATGAAGTTCTGAGAGTTTTGATATGAAGAAAATGTAAATACTTTTGGAAAATTGAATAACTTACTTGACATTCTCCTCATTGGGCCCAGTGATCTGCACAAGACGCTCCTTCGCACCAGGACTCACTGAAATTGTATCAATGTATTGCTCACAGCTTTAGAATATTTTATTCATTCATAGTAATGTATGTTAGAATTTGATTATTCATTGTAATTCAGTAAGCTTAGCTAGATGCTTTAATAGGCAGGCAGGTTGCATTGTTATTGAAACCATAACCAGTTATATTAAGAATTTTAATTAGTATGTTAATTATAAAAGATGTATGATTGTTAAGGATTTCATTATAACCTGGATTATCTGCAAGAATGTTTTGTAGGTCATCAATACAGTTCTATAGTTATAATCCATATTAATATTATAAATGTGAAAGTTTGTGAGTATGGATGTTTGTTACTCTTTCATGCCAGAACTGCTGAACGGATCAGGTTGAAATTTGGCACAAAGATAGATTTAACACATAGGCTACTTTTTATCCCGAAAAAATGAACGGTTCCCCCCGTGGGGTACGTTTATTTTTGTTTTCCTAGAGGCGAACCCAAGCGAAGTGAGTGTGAGCTGCTAGTAAATCATCTATTATAATTTTTACTATGAGAATATCAAATTACTATTTTGTTAATGACCGACAAAACATTATTGTAATCATATTATTGTTATAGTAATAACAATAAATGGATAAGGATGACATAAGGTAATTGATATCAAGACAAGTGTAGCAGAATATAGTCCAGCACACCATGCGCAAGCGCCCGCCCGTGCTCATACCTCTCTGAAACGATATGATCGTGTCACTTAGCTCCTCGATCATATGCACCCGCCTGCCCTTGATACCCATCACTGGAACACCACAAGACAACTTCAGACTACCAATACACTTCATTCTTGTACATTTTTTTTAATACTACTTTATTGATCTTTATTGATTTCATACCAACACACCAACCAATTCAATATATAATATATATTATTTCATATGCACAATAAGACCCTAACAGGTCAAGTAAATATTGACGGTCAAACAATTATGCACACCAAATATAACAAGCAACATTAATAAGCTTTATTTAATTTACCGACATTTGTAACACTGTGGGCTAATAAGAAAAAAAAGATATTTTTACTATTATCTACTCTATGACTCACTAAAAATCCAATATTCAACTTTAAAAAGTTACTCAAACATAAAAGATGACCAATTTTAATTTCATGCCTATAAAATATAAATATAAAATAATAACACTAACATTTTTCCTATATATAAATATATTCATTTAATAATACTTTATCACCATGCAACCCAATTAGAAAATGTTTTTCTAATAAGTACTACCATATATAAACATACATTTTAAAATTTATCAGATAATCCCTTTAGGAAATGGCTGCATACATAATGAAAAAAAAACAACTTTAAAAATTATACAAATAAAATATGCATTTAAAATACATATATAATAATAAAGACCATATAATAAATATAAATATATATAAATATAATACCTTTCCCAGAATCAGCATTGCGTATAACAACCTCATCTTTAGAGTAGTTTTTGCCAGGTATCTTGGTGGGCTTGGGGAACTTGCCCGAGGGCTTGATCACCTCACCCGGGGCCAGCAGTGCGGGCGGCTCGGCGGGCGCAGCCAGCGTGGGGGACGCCGAGCCGCCTGACCCTGTGCCGTCCATTATTGGTACTAGGAGAGGCTGAATTAAATATTTTTAATTACTGTACTGTTGCTTTGATTATTTGATGAAAGTTTATTTTTCAGATGCAGTATTTATAATATTTTCTTAAATCCATTTTGTTACCAAAAATATAAAATCAATTACCTCAGCATGTGTACCGCGATGTCTGTAATATTGACTCATATAATCAGAACCTTGCCAATGTTTAGCACGCAATTCTATAAGCTCAAGGAGATGAAGCCGAGTTTTTTTGTCGAGTCGCTCATCTTGTGAGCCATTGCGAAAAACAACAAAATATCTGAAAGAATTAATATTTTATATTTTACTTACTAAAATAAAGCAATTTACCAAAATAAAGATTAGGTATAAATAATAAAAAATAGGTACAAAGAAGTTAGTAGTAGTGGAAAATTGATATAACCAAAATTAAAATGCATTTAAGTATAAAAAATAATACATAATGTACTAACCTATCAAGAAAGTCTTTATAGAGTGCCTCAAGCTGGGCACCATAAAGTTTAAGGTTAGAATACATAGTGGCAACATTACTCTGAAGTGCACGGTCAAAGTTCCCCTGCATCATTTGATATGCCACCGCCTCCGTCAAAACTATCAAGTCATCAACTGTAAATTAAAAATCAACAATAATAATATTAAATGAAGGGTTAAATAACACGACTAAAAACAAATATTGTGTTAAGTTTAAACTAAAGTATACAGAAGAAGGTATTTTATAGCATTGATAACCAATCAAGTGTTAAATATTAGTTCAATACAAATACACGGTAAAAAATGTACTGTGGAATGAATAATCTAATAACTCTTACCAGAATTAATTTTCACATCTAAAACAGAGTTACGGTTGTGTGCGGAGCTGGTCGTCGATTTCAAGGGTCTAGGCACTTCAAGTTTTTTAACCGTACGGGTCATTTTCGTTAGGGTCGACATGGTGCTGTCAAAATACAAAGACAAATCATAACAAAACATTGCGTGCCCTGAGTATACATAAATTTACATTGTTTGCAACGTTATAATTACGATGTGACGTGACGGACGATGATGGTTACATGTTTAATGAAGAAGTGTCATAATTTATTCAAGATAAAACAATGGTATAGGAACAGTTTAATTAGGAAAATGTGTAACTCACTCATCCATGGCGGCGGCTTTTCGATGTACACTAGAACCACTAATTGAGCAAAATGCGTGGAAAGTGAAAGTGATGACAATGATCCTAGTGAATAAATTCGGAACAAACCCGATACGTGTTCATTACTCGATAAATTAGTTTATATTCATGTAATGCAAAGGGATAGATGAATAAATTTTGACTTTTAAGAATTTCTAATACGTTATACGATGAAAAACATTTAGACAAAACAATTGAAAACCGTAGAACACAATGAAATAAGAAATAAACAAGAAAACTCACCTGGCTACGCCATTAATTCGCAATAAAAATAAATTTAGTGTCGTGACAAATCATGTAAAAAGTATTTTCTGTAACAAAAATTACAAAATACCAAAAATAAATTGAGTTGAGTTTGTCTAATAATATTATTCATTTAAAATTAGAAATACTTAAAAAATAATATTTTCAATATAAATTACAATGTAAAAAAACCGGTATAAAATGTCAGAAAATAGGAATTATATATTATATATGGTTAATGAAGCAGACAATTAAAAATAATTTTATTTAAAGATTTTGATATTAGTAATTTTAATAAAAGTTTTACTGTAATTACCTTTATTATACTTTGTTTAATAATCTCATTGTTTCTTCTTGAGTCTATAAAAAATTGTGCCTTACGGTAAAACATCAGACGTCAGTGTCATGAGTCATCTGTCAAGTGTCATTTCGGATTTTGTGAGAGGTGGTCGTGTTTTGGTTTTTAGAGAATTTGTTCATGTTAGAAAATGAATAGAAAGTATGAAAGTTTATTTTATCAAAAACTTTTAAATCAGGACTATTTTATCTTATGTTTTTAATAAGTGTTTGTGCGTGTCTTTATGTTTCATCATAAGTTTTGAGTGTATAGACAATTTATTATTTATTAATAAGTTTATAAAGTTAAGGTAAAATTACTAAATAATTAACAAATAAAATATAACTGGATTGTAATATATATTTTAATTTATACATCCCGTCAAATTTTAAACAAATATTTTAAATATTTCTTTCAGACAATGCATAAATACTACATATCGGTATTATTGGTACGCTTGGTCATACCGGCGTCTCTTCTACTAAGTAAGTTACATATTGTCTTGTTTATTTATTTTACTTAATATAATTTGATTCTACTTAGCATATAATTAATAAATCAACTCATATAAATTTGATCTAATGTGTTTATTACAAAAAAATTGACAATCTTAAAGCAAATTGATTTCACTTGTCATGTTTTATACTAATTAACTTTTACGGTAATTTTTATAGTAAGTAATAAAAAATAATACAAAAGTGTTTATTTAATTATTAAAGGAAAACTAAACTATTTTAAAATGTTTATAATTAAGATTAAAATACTCATAATTACTCAATGTAAAATATAAATGTTTAAATATTATAATATACTAGCAGAACTCGCGGCTACGCTCGCGTTCAATATACAAAAAAAACTCTGGCTTTATGTTATACAGCGACTCACCCTATCTTCGTTCGGGTTCATCGCTATGTAATTGTACAATATTATTCATACAAAAATACTAAAATTGCGATTAAAAAATCCATCCTCACAAACTTTCACATTTATAATATTAGTATAGAGTTAGTACAATATTTAGGATATAAATCGATGCTCACAGATAAAATGAACAAATATTTTTGTTATTTCCAAAGGGTCTGAAATGAATAAAAAATTGCATTTCTATATTCTAATAAATCTAAACAATAGTAGTAAAATATATCATAAAATAATAACCACAATAATATAAATAACATTAAATTGAGTTTGAAAATGGGTATATATCCAAAATTATTCTAGAATAATAGCAGAATGAGAACAAAACTTTAATATTTCTATTAATTCAGTAATTTATATATCATTTTAATAGAAAGATTTAAGTTTATAAATTGTAGGTAGGTACCTATATTCAATCTTACAATTAGTTTGATGAGAAGTTATTAATTTTGTATAAATAGCTTAAGGATTGTACTCCTTCATCCTTCCTTATTGCATGTAGTTATTTGATGTGGGTAATATCATATAGTAAGCAATAATATTTTTTGAGAGATATAAATAAGTATAACATAAAATATCAGTATTATTATTTTATTTTCATAAGGCATAATAATGCATTCAGCACTTTTATTTGAATGCTAGTACCATTAATGTGAATTTAAAAGTTGAATTATGTAATAATTATATTCGAGGCGGCAAGCGTGACGTAATATGCCGAAACCGGCCGGTCGCCGATACCCCGTGCCACTGGTAGCGTCATCGTCATTATTTATGTTTTCATTCCTCGTATTATTTTTGATTAGTTAAACTTCTCTATGGAACTGTAAACTTCTAATTTGCCAAGATTTAGAAGTACCTAACATTTTTTGTTGTTTTTGTTTTGCTTTTGGAAACGTATGATGTTACGTTAGCTACATTACATATTATACTGGGTTTAGGCCCCATACAAACTTTCATCCCTATTTTCACCCCCTTAAGCGATGATTTCCAGGATAAAAAGTATCCTATGTCCTTCCCAGGGCCCAACGTGCGTTCACCTTGTCGTGGTGGGGGGCTCAGTAGTGTACTCGCGAAGCCAAGAAACGCACAGGGAGGTGGCCCGTTTTGGTGGGCGGTGGGAGGCGGGCTATGTGAACTTGGCACCCGACTTTGGAAAAATTGTTCTTTTTTAGGTTTATTTGAACGATTTCGGTTAGTAGTAGATAGTAGTGAAGCTAACTTCGTTTGTAGTAGTGTCAAAAAAAAAATACAGACAACAAAAAAAATGTCATCCCCCGAAGTAGGTAAAAAAATTTTTTTTCGCTTGATTCGTATAGAAAAACGTTAGTAGTGGTTTGTAGTGCAATTTTTTTCGTTTGTAGTAAAACAAAAAAAAAATTTTTTTTTTCGAGTATTTTTCCAGAACGATTTTTACTACATACATTCATTGTTTCGTTTGTAGTACCATTATTTCATTTGTAGTAACGTTAATTTTGGTTTGTAGTACCATTACTTCGTTTGAAGTAACGTTAATTTCGTTTGTAGTACCATTATTTCGATTGTAGCTGTTTGTAGTAACGTTAATTTCGTTTATAGTACCATTATTTCGTTTGTAGTTGTTTGTAATAACGTTAATTTCGTTTGTAGTACCATTATTTCGTTTGTAGTAACGTAAATTTCGTTTGTAGTACCATTGTTACGTTTGTAGTACCATTGTTTCGTTTGTAGTACCATTATTTCGTTTGTAGTACCATCATTTCGATTGTAGCTGTTTGTAGTAACGTTAATTTCGTTTGTAGTACCATTATTTCGTTTGTAGTAGTACCATCATTTCGATTGTAGCTGTTTGTAGTAACGTTAATTTCGTTTGTAGTACCATTATTTCTTTTGTAGTTGTTTGTAGTAACGTTAATTTTGTTTGTAGTACCATTGTTTCGTTTGTAGTAAAGTTAATTTCGTTTGTAGTACCATTATTTCGTTTGTAGTTGTTTGTAGTAACCTTGATTTCGTTTGTAGTACCATTATTTCGTTTGTAGTTGTTTGTACCATTGTTTCGTTTGTAGTACCATTATTTCGTTTGTAGTACCATTATTTCGATTGTAGCTGTTTGTAGTAACGGCTGCAGTAGTCTGTTTGTGGTACTACAAACGAAATTAAGGTTACTACAAACAACTACAAACAAAATAATGGTACTACAAACGAAATTTACGTTACTACAAACAGCTACAATCGAAATAATGGTACTACAAACGAAATAATGGTACTACAAACGAATTAATGGTACTACAAACGAAACAATGGTACTACAAACGAAATTAACGTTACTACAAACCATTACAAACAAAATAATGGTACTTAAAACTAAAGAATGGTACTACAAACAACTACAAACGAAATAATGGTACTACAAACGAAATTAAGGTTACTACAAACAACTACAAACAAAATAATGGTACTACAAACGAAATTTACGTTACTACAAACAGCTACAATCGAAATAATGGTACTACAAACGAAATAATGGTACTACAAACGAATTAATGGTATTACAAACGAAACAATGGTACTACAAACGAAATTAAGGTTACTACAAACAACTACAAACAAAATAATGGTACTACAAACGAAATTTACGTTACTACAAACAGCTACAATCGAAATAATGGTACTACAAACGAAATAATGGTACTACAAACGAATTAATGGTACTACAAACGAAACAATGGTACTACAAACGAAATTAACGTTACTACAAACCATTACAAACAAAATAATGGTACTTAAAACTAAAGAATGGTACTACAAACAACTACAAACGAAATAATGGTACTACAAACGAAATTAAGGTTACTACAAACAACTACAAACAAAATAATGGTACTACAAACGAAATTTACGTTACTACAAACAGCTACAATCGAAATAATGGTACTACAAACGAAATAATGGTACTACAAACGAATTAATGGTATTACAAACGAAACAATGGTACTACAAACGAAATTAATGTTACTACAAACAACTACAAACAAAATAATGGTACTACAAACGAAATTAACGTTACTACAAACGAAACAATGGTACTACAAACAAAATTAACGTTACTACAAACAACTACAAACGAAATAATGGTACTACAAACGAAATTAACGTTACTACAAACAGCTACAATCGAAATGATGGTACTACAAACGAAATAATGGTACTACAAACGAAATATTGGGTCTACAAACGAAATTAACGTTACTACAAACAACTACAAACAAAATAATGGTACTAGAAACTAAAGAATGGTACTACAAACAACTACAAACGAAATAATGGTATTACAAACGAAATTAAGGTTACTACAAACAACTACAAACAACTACAAACAAAATAATGGTACTACAAACGAAATTTACGTTACTACAAACAGCTACAAACGAAATTTACGTTACTACAAACAGCTACAATCGAAATAATGGTACTACAAACGAAATAATGGTATTACAAACGAAATAATGGTACTACAAACAAAATTAACGTTACTACAAACAACTACAAACGAAATAATGGTACTACAAACGAAATTAACGTTACTACAAACAGCTACAATCGAAATGATGGTACTACAAACGAAATAATGGTACTACAAACGAAATAATGGTACTACAAACGAAACAATGGTACTACAAACGTAACAATGGTACTACAAACGAAATTTACGTTACTACAAACGAAATAATGGTACTGCAAACGAAATTAACGTTACTACAAACAACTACAAACGAAATAATGGTACTACAAACGAAATTAACGTTACTACAAACAGCTACAATCGAAATGATGGTACTACAAACGAAATAATGGTACTACAAACGAAACAATGGTACTACAAACGAAATTTACGTTACTACAAACGAAATAATGGTACTACAAACGAAATTAACGTTACTACAAACAACTACAAACGAAATAATGGTACTATAAACGAAATTAACGTTACTACAAACAGCTACAATCGAAATAATGGTACTACAAACGAAATTAACGTTACTTCAAACGAAGTAATGGTACTACAAACCAAAATTAACGTTACTACAAATGAAATAATGGTACTACAAACGAAACAATGAATGTATGTAGTAAAAATCGTTCTGGAAAAATACTCGAAAAAAAAAATTTTTTTTTTGTTTTACTACAAACGAAAAAAATTGCACTACAAACCACTACTAACGTTTTTCTATACGAATCAAGCGAAAAAAAATTTTTTTACCTACTTCGGGGGATGACATTTTTTTTGTTGTCTGTATTTTTTTTTTGACACTACTACAAACGAAGTTAGCTTCACTACTATCTACTACTAACCGAAATCGTTCAAATAAACCTAAAAAAGAACAATTTTACCAAAGTCGGGTGCCAAGTTCACATAGCCGTGGGAGGCGGCCTTCTTCGGAGGGCGGTGTACCATGCGGGTTGCTCCTGGTACTTCTCTGATAGCAGAGTGGACCGTGGAGCAACCCCATGGTTGTTGTGGTCTGCTTCGGCAGACCTGCCGTCGGGGCGTCGTAGTTGAATGCGTAAGCGATCCTGCGACGCCCCATTA